GTAGCAGCCTGGCCCGGAAAGACTGGGGCGTTCGTGATGCACGCCTGTCCCCACCACCCCGTTGTTGGACTGCGTGGACTGCAGGCCAGACAAGGCAGGGAGGTCAGCACCGGCGCCCTCCACGGCCAGAGCGTGCACGCTGCGCCGGCTGGTCACGCCATCCAGGAAGTCGTCGCGATGGGGCACTGAGTCCCCCGGTTCGCTACCTGCGACCCATTGCCAACTCCTTCCACGAACAGCGGGGTCGACAACTTCTCCCCGGAGGGCTGCAGCTTCACCTGCCGGGCATTGTGGGCCAAACTCATGACGAAGCAATCCCCGAAGGTTCGTCTAGGGCCCAAGCGCCAGCGTCGGCGGCGACGCCGAACCGGCCCCCCCGGTAGATCCGCGCTCGCCAGCTAGCACGGCGAGTCGATCGATGCACTCGAGCCTGCACCTGACGAAATCGACCACCACGGGGGCGCCGGCCTGCATGGCGGCATGTGCGAATCCAGGCGGGCGTCGCAAGGCGGGCGCGCGAGGTCTGGCCGAGGTGCCCCAGGGGCAAGGACTGGCCGAGGCGACTACGCAATCTCCTGCTGCGGCGGGGTCTTCTCCGGCACGTCCCTGTCTGGCGGCGCGAGGGCCGATGCCATCGGCGCCGGGCACGCTGGCGCTCTGTCTGATGCCGAACGGGCCGATGCCATGGGCATTGGGCCCGTCGGTGCACGATCTGCACCAATGAAATGGAAGTCGGCGGTGATGTCGGCTGGCCCGCAGCACGCTGGACAGCGAACCAGGCTGGCATCGGCGTTCTGCATCAGCTGTTGGTGACATGCGCGGCGCAGTATACGTCGGAGCTGCAGGCGCACCAACCTCCCGCCATGCGCGAAGGCCTCGAGACAAGTGGGGCGCCCCCTATCGCCGCCGGTTGAAACCGCGACTGAGGGAGACTCGGCAGGTGAAACGGGAGGCACAGGAGAAGGACTGACAGGGGATTATGTCCAACTCTGCGCGGCTTGAGTTCGCTGCTCGTCCTGCTGATGCATGAGCTCACGTGCTGGCTGTGCGCTGTGGAACTCATCCAGGCGTCGTCGCTGCGCGCGGTCGAGAAACGCGTTCGCGCGGTGCTCGGATCTGCCGCCGCTGGCCATGCAGTTCTCGCGGCCGGCGAGCCACGTGGCCACTCCCCCTGACGGCTGGCCCACGTCGCTGGGGCTGTTCTGGTGAGACAGAGCCAGCTCCTACGGGAGACTCCAGCACTGGCGGTGGCGCAACTTGTGGCGCGGACTGAGGCGGCCCCACATGAAGCGCTGATGCCGAGGGCTGAGACGGAAGGCACGCATACCCAGCTCGGCAACTGCACGACGGCAGGGATGGCCGGAAGCGCGGCGACTCGCGCGTTGAGGTCGCCCACCCGGTCGCGCCCCTGAGCTTGCCCCAGCGGTAACTCACCGCCCACTCGCGTCAACCGCGGTGGCGTTGGTTGTGGTGGCGCTGGTGAAGCTGCTGGGGTCGTCGATGCCAGCGGCGCGGCCGGCGCCGCTTCCGCCGCCGCTGCCGCGCAGGCCGGCGACGCAGTCACTGGGCCCGCTGGTCGCGCAGAGCCTTGAACGCGGCGCATGAGTTCTGCCGTCTCCCGTCGCAGTCGCCGCAGCTCGGCGTCGCGAGGGATGGGCGACGACGAGGGCGAGGGCGGCGCCCCAACCCAACGCGACCAACAGCTCAGGCCAACTTGTGGCCCAGAACCGTCTGACGACGCTCTTGGAATGGCTGCTTGCGCCGCCGCTGGCCGCGGCGCTGGCGCCGTCGGAGTCGGCCGCCCACCGCTCCAAAAGCCAGCGCTCTGCATGGGGCCACCTCCCCCGGCACCCGCAATCGATGGCCGCGGAGTCCAGGAGGCGCCCCTAGTCATCCGCACCGCACACGCTCCTGGGACAGACTGTTGCTCGGATGGCCCCTGCGGCCCCTGCAGTCCCAGCAGCGGGCGTCGACGGCGGCATTGGCGACGGGGCGCAGGCATTCAGGAAGAGAGCGCGCTCGGCTGCGGCGCTGGGGGCAGCGTCACACGACATGTTCTCCAGGGTCGCACTCGTGGTTGTCGAGGCGCACCCCGTTGGTGTTCACAGTTTGAAATCATGTTGTCGGCCTCGAACACCCCCGTGTTTTTTCCTTTGACCTCTTTGAAGCCCACGGAAAATTCCAGGAGGTCGGTTTCGGACGAGTCGGCCACGCAGGCGCGGCCGCCCTTACCTTGGCCCTCGCCCTTCCCTTCGATGACCCCCCGGTCGCGGCGCGCGGGCCTGCGGCTGTCGAAGCTGCGCCAGCGCGCTCTGGCGCGCTCGCTAGCCGCGCACCGCGCCGTTCCACATGAAAGACGCGTAGCTCGGGGTCGTCCGAAGCAACTCCTTCGCCGAATGTGCTGACGGCGTCGGCATCGGTGCCTGACTCAACATTTGCTGCCGGGAATGCCCCGCGCGATAGCGACGCCGCGCTGGCGTTGCCGACGGTTGCCTGCATGGGAGGGCCCGGCGCCGCCCCCGGCGCGGCTGGGCCCACGCGACCACGGAGCCGTCGGCACCGCGAGCCTGATCTCGCGCGGGCGCACGCGCGAGGAAGGCGCGCCGTTGGGCAGAGTGCAACGCCGAAGCGAGTTTGCCGAGCGATCCAACGATCGCGTGCCCGGAACGTCGCAGCTGGCCCGCCGCGCGAGCGAGCTGCGCGGCGTCCCCAGGGCAGGTCACGCTGCAGCGCTGCATGATCATGGTCGGCTGGATTCTCGACACGCCAACGGCGCGCAGCAGGAGGAAGCTGAGGCCTTCGTAGTCGATCATGAGTTGACCAGCTCGCTGCGCACTGTTGCGTAGGATGCCGAATACAGCGAGGGCGTTGTCGGAGCGCTCTTGCGGCAGTCTGTTGAAGTTCATGCGCGCTGATACTGCCGAAGCGCTCTCCTCCTCGCCCAGCTGGCCCCATCGCCAAGCCAAGCTGCGCAAATTGGGAAGGTAATCGGTGGCACTGGGTTGCCGTTGATGGGCCCCCCTTGGATCAGGACAGCTGGCGGCCATTCAACTACGCACTCGCGAACCATGCCAGCGAGGCGCGACGAGACGTAGGCCGCCTGGCGAAACTCGTTGAGATCCGAGTTCGCCACTGACCGGATCACACCTCGTGCACCCATCACTGAAAAAACACTCGAGATTGCTGGTTGGGCCCCCAGGTGCGGAGGTGACGAGCGTTGCCACTGCTGCCGCCTGCGTCCATGCGCGACAGGCAGCTGGCGATGGCAATCATGCCCACTTCGATGGCCTTACATCCAGAATGTTCCCTCCATGTCTCAAGGAGATGCTGGCAACTGGGGATCCACCAGCGGCGTTGCTCTGGTAAGGAGCATCGGAGCCGCCGTGGACACTTGCCGCGGACGCGTTCCTCCTCGTATCCGTGTCGGGCCTAAGTTTCCGTCGTGCGGTTGTGGTGCTCTCGGTACCCGGAGCACCCCACAACGCAGTCATGGGACTGCTCCTCGCACGTCGTAGCGCCACCGTACTGAACACCGCCAACTGCACGATCGTTGAGAAGAGTTCGCATCGGGACACAGTCCTGCCAGATTGCGCGGAATGCATGGGTATGGCGATAAGTCATGTTCCAAAAGAGCGAAAACGGAAAAATACCAGATCCGTGTTGCTGTCCATGGGAACGTTGACAACACATTCGCCAGGCCCTCCACTGACTTCCCAGTATTATTTGTTTCCTCCTCCCGGGCCTTTCGTGACACAGTCACGAAGAGCTCGGGACCCTTTACCGACGCCGCTGATGTGAACGCTGCATTGCTGCATCAAACAACTGTCCATCATTGGCGGTCACACCCAGATTTCTGGCTATTTCCACAAACGGGTGCGTCGAAGACGTTAGGTCCGCGAGCTGCGCTGACACAGTCACTGCGAGCCTGGGAGACAGAGTAGGGAGAGCCGGCGCGCGGCCGGTGTCCCGGATGTATTTGTTCATGTAAGTGTCCAGCATGATGGGGTGCCGGGTGCCCGAAGGCGATGGAGAGCTGGAACCTCCGCGGTCGACGCGAAGCGAAAATGAGAAGCCGTTGCGGCCGTGGAAGGGGACCGAAGCTCTGCTTCCAACTCAAGAAATGGATGTGATAAGTGGATAGATGAGGCGAATGTTTCCTGTATCGGCGTACAGAGCCAGGTACGTACCTTGAGCCAAACGCCCACGAAAGTACCATAGCAGGCCAGACAAGGCAGAGGTGAGAAGACGGGACTACCGTTCGAGCAGAAGGAGGGGAAGAGGAGGAGGAGGAGGAGGAGGAGGAGGAGGAGGAGAGGAGGAGGGGGGCGAGGACCACGACGACGACGACGACGACGACGACGAGGAGGAGGACGACGACGACGACGACGACGACGATGACGACGACGAGGAGGGGGAAGAGGAGGAGAGGAGAGGAAGCGAGGAAGGACTGGAGAGGCCTCGGGCTGCGCACAGATAGCCTCCCCAGGCAGTCCCAGCTGACCTCAAAAGGCCCCCCGAGCAGCCCCCGCTGCCCTCAACAGGCCCCCCGAATAGTCCGGGGAAGCCTCAACACCCTGGCGACGCCTCTGGCGGCGTCCCTGGGGCGCTCCGCGCCCCACAGCTGTTGCGGCCAACTGTGGCGACGCGGGGGGGCCCGTTGAAGCCAGCTGGGACGACCTGGGGGGGCTGTCTGTGCGCAGCCCGAAGCCTTACCAAGGAGGAAGAGAGCCGCTGAGGGCTTCACAAGTTCTCCTGTTCCTCGACCCGCGCTGGAACTTCCACGCTCTCTCGCTCTTTCTCTCTCTCTCTTTCTCTCTTTCTCTCTTTCTCTCTTTCTCTCTCTCTCTCTCTCTCTCTCTCTCTCTCTATCTCTCTGCAACTATCCGGACATCTCCAGATATCCATCTGGTTTTGAACCGATGCGCGTCGTTGCTTCTCGTTCCAGCTACTTTCAATGCTCTGGAATCGACTATGCAGGAGAGTTGTCAAGCCCTCTGGGC